TGATAATTTCTTACCACTTTGTCTGTAATTTGGTAAGCCTCCCCTATTACTATGTTATCCTTCTTTTACTCTTTAAAATAAAAAAAGTAAAAGTACAATTTAGTAACGAGAGTACTGCAATGCTGATACTGTGATCCTAGAAACTTTTTAGTTTTTGGTCTTTAATATATTAAATAATCATGGTGACCTCTCTATAATTCTGTTGTAATTGCAAAATCTGTACTACATAGAACACCGACAAGTCAATGAACTAAAAATTATCTTAATGTAGTCAATTTCATCCACTCAAATTACTTTTTCCCTTGAATAAACTCATATGGCACCATTACTTAATTTTTATACTTAGTTCCTTGAAATACTATAGCTGTTTAGACATATTGTCAGAATGATTGATACCTTCTATTATAAGGCATGCAGAAATATATAAGAATTAAAACCCTCTTATTTAATTTACTTATGTATGTATTTATTTATTTTTGTCTTTTTGAGACAGGGTCTCACTGTATAGTTTAGGTTGTCCTTGAGCTCACTTTATAGACCAGGCTGGTGTCGAACTCACAACAATCCTCTTACCTCAGTCTCTCCAGTGCTGGGATTATAGGAATGTGCCACCACACTCAGCTAAACCCTCTAATTTTAATTTAATGGAATTTATTGAATATTAATTTCAAGGTAACTCACTTTTTACTGTCAACATTTGAAAGATTCTTTTTCTAAATTTTTCCAAGGAGAGAAAGATCTTCCAGTCCTTCCCAAAGGTTTCAAATACATTTATAACAACTGCTAAATTACTAATGATTTCAACTTGTGGAGACCCTGTTTGACAGCTGCATCCTTCTACCCTTTATGAATAATTCCACAGCTCTCCAGTCTTCTCTAATGGATTTGGAAGAGCTTATTGCCTTTTTAGCATTATTGCAAGGGACACTGAGATCCATGGTGATAAAAAATACAGGAATGACCTAAGAACTCAATTTCCTCAATAATCTTTTCCGTAGAAAAATGGAGAGCAGCATTTTTATGGACCTTTATGCAGGTGGTATTTGAACATAATTTTCTTCTGTATTTTAATCTTTTATAAATGGAAGATAGGAGTTGTTCAGGTTGACTCCTCTCCTCCCAATGATAATTTTCAATATTCTCCATTGATTCATCACTTATCAACTCATTTCAACACAATTGCTATTAACATTTTTCTTCATGGCTACAGTCAAATTGGAGACATCCTGCAGGTTTACCACAGCCTACTGATGATTTTGATCTGTATTGCAGGAAACAACCAGCACTTGGTGTTTATCATGAATTCTGCTCTCCCCTGCTCAGGGACCTAGGCTTTCAGGAAAGAAAAAGGGAAGGTAAGGCAGTCTGTTTCCCAGATTGAAGTGGAACCCAGAAGAAGCAGCAACAAGCTGGTGTAATTAAGAATAAGGACTTAGCAAGACTTACATTTGACACCTGTTGAGAAATATATCTAATTGTTGCTAATAAACTGGGGTTATCCATGGGCACACCAAATTATAGTGCTACGAGCCCTACTCATACCACGATACCGTCTATCTCAATGTAATTGTTTACCTCCAGGTAATCTTTGCTGCAATCTGCATGGTTCTCCAAGCTCAAAGTCCCAAAAGTAAATGTTAGCAGAAGTTCAGGGCTGGTTATGACGTGCCAGACACAATCTCTTCCTGGGGGGTAGTTTCCAGGATATCCCGGAGATTGGATAGAACCATAAGTACCAGTCAGTCTACCTCCACACTCTGAAATAACATGGAAAAGAAACTTTACATTTGTATTCAAGATAGAATTCGTGTAGAATTATCATAGCTCCTGCAGGAAGCAAAACTTTGTTTAAATGACTGAGCTGGTTTAGATATCCCCATAAATTAAACAAGACTTTCAGCTTTCCAGTTTCATAAAGTTATACATGTGGACACATCAATTGATAAGCACCCATGTGTGAACTCTGTACTTATAGGCCATTGTCTAAAGGAGATACAATTCCAAATATAGTGCTGAACCATTTGAGGGCTGAATAATGGGAATATAGACTGATTTTTTCCACATTGAAGAGATTAATGTGGGTATATCAACTCAACTTTTAGAACCTTTGTCAGCTACTCTGTCATTCAACAAATGACATCATTTTATATTTTGAAATAGCTAAGCACCACATAATTTTCCCTTGAGAAGTTTCTTTAGCAGTATCTCTAGGTAACCCATTCAGCTTATAAATGAAGACATTCAAAGTTAGTGGTGGTTAAGCCACCAACCCAGGAGTAGAACACGTAAGGACTGAGCTAGGTTTTTTGGCCCTGACCCTATGACTATCACCATACCACCCCAGGTCCTTAACTGGCCGATCAATGACAGGAAGAATCCCATCTTTATCAATATGCATATTTATCTGACAAAGAATTTGTAGCAGTTTCTAAGAAATGCTACTGTAAAATTTAAAAACATAGAAATATAAAATAATACTGACTATAATAAATAAACAGAAAAAATAAAATAAGGTAACATGGCGTGAGATTTAGGTAACTATGCAAATTATTCAGATAAAAACTTTGCTACCAATGCAGAAAATGAAACAAATTCATTACACTGTTCTCATTATTCTTAATAAAAAAAATTTCAGTTCATCAGAGAAATATGCATTTCCCAAAATTTAATACTTAAAGAACTATCATGTGGGTAAAATTCTAGACATATGAAATACTATAAGTAAAATATTAATAATAAAATGAAAAAATGCAATCTATAGCAAAAATTTAGTATCTTTATATATTAAGAGTTTTGGAAAAGAATAGAAATGTAAAGAGAGAATACACTGAAAAAAATTCAGACGTCCCTTATACATATGGAAAAATGTATAAGAGACATCTGAAAAATAAAACTTCACTAAGACACCATTTCTTCCCTCTCAAAATGATAAAAATTTGGATTTTTGAAAATAAATTACTGATGAAACTGTAAAGAAATCAACACTCTTTTACATTGTTAATGAGAATGCAATAATGTGTAATCACTAACAGAGAGAATGTGGCAATATCCAACAAAACCTTATGAATTTTTCTGGCCAATCCCACTTTCAGAAATACATCCCAACTATACCACTCTGGCAAAAATATAGTAAGACAAATGCACATGATGCTTTATTGCAGTAAAATTTAGAATTCCAAAAGACTGGAAATAAGACAAATGCCCTTCCACAGAGCACTGGAGACATCTACATAAGGCATTGTTATGTTCTAGCTGTGGTAGAAGGTCCAGGATATACCAAGTGAAAATGTAAAATATACACCAGTGTATATGGTATGCTGCCTCTGATCTAAGAAAGGAAAACATGATTATGTGTATTTGCTTAAGTTTTTAAATAAAGGGGTAAACCTAAAACTAAACTTACCTCTCAAAATCTACCATGTATATTCATTTCGCTTTGGCATTATGAATGTTTAACATGATCATAAAGGAAAATTTAATAAAAGTGAAGAAAAGAAATCTCTAAAATTATAAGCAAAACAAAATCAATGAAGGAACTTCACTGAATTGACAGCCATGAAGAATTGGAATATGAGACTTTACAGCACTGTAATTTGACTATATGACCAAGCACACTGAAATAAAATGAAGAATAAAAGAACAATATGAAAGAAAAGCAATGAAATGAAATATTAAAGGCTTTCCAATTAGCACAGTATTAGTAACAATGCTGGTATTATTGTACAAATGTATAGGATTAAATATATAGGTAATACATTAATGTCAATGGGAACCAGGACTTTTACTGTGTGATACCAGAGATTCAAATATAAAGTGAGAACGATATATGTTAAAATCACTGTGAATATATGAGATTTTTTCCCCTTAAAAAATAAGGAAAGTATTCTATACTTCTGATCAGTCGAAGCTTTTGACATGGACCGACAGAGTAACAATAGCCATTCCTAGTATCCAAGCTGTGGGATCTGAATATCACGTGCCCTTGAAAGAGTAAGAGCTACTCAGAGAACAGGGGGTTCCATTCCTAAGGTAGTAAGTGGGCAGGAAGGGCCTAGCACACCATCTCAAACTTGAAACCTACTCCAGTTTGGGGCCTATAAGGCAAAGAAAATGAAATTACCATCTGGAAGAGATACCTACATTTCTGTGTTCACTGCAGCATTATTTACAATAGTCAAGATATGCAGAATCAACCTAACTATTCACTAATGGATGAAGAAAAAAAATGCATTCCACACACAATGGAATAATATTTGGCCTTTTAAAAGGAGAAAATCCTATGATTTGCGACAACATGGATGAATCTGGAAGATTTCTTTTTTTTTTTTTTTTTCAAAACAGGGGTTGAACCCAGGGCATTTGCACTGAGCTATATACAGCACACCCAACGCTTTTCACTTTGAAACAAGGTCTTGCTAAATTGACCAGGCTTCCAAATTGACCAGGCTAGTCTTAAATTTGCAATCCTCCTGCCTCCACTTTCTGATTACCTGGGATTACAGGCATGTGCTTCTGTACCAAGATGAACCTGGATGACAGTATGGTAAATGAAACAAGCAAGACTTGGAAAGGCCAATAGTACCTGATCTCCCTTACATGTGAGATCTAAAAATATCAAACTCACAGAAGCAAGGAATAGGATGATAGTTACCAGGGGCTAAGAGACAGAGAAAACAGGGAGATGTTGGTCAAAAGTACATTTAAATTTTGTAGACCTCCCACATAGCCCAGCACATACTGAATTATAGGTAAGTATAGATAATACTGAATAATGTACTTTAAAATCATTAAAAGAGTAAATCTTAATTGTTCTTGCCACACACAGAGAAAACAATGGTTACTATATAAGGTGACAGATATATCAATTGCTGTAGCTTGATTTGGATAATCACTTCACAGTGCATCCATGTGTCAAAATACCACATTGTACACCCTAAATACCATATGCATCTATGAAACCTCAATAAGGTTGGAAAAATAAATATTGGAAATACTGGAAAAAATAAAAATAAAATATAGAAATCAAAATTTGTCAAAACAAAACAAAAGTATACAAATCTATAGTCCTAACTTGAAATTTTGATACATTTCTTCCACTAATTGGAAAAAATTTAAATCACTAAAAATTAGTGTTTTAACAAAACTATGGCCCAACTAAACTAAGTTGGTACATATACATGATTCTGTCCAACCACTGCAGAGCACACATTCTTTCCTGTCTTTATAGGAAATATACAAAAATAAAAAACATATCATTCCATAAAGCAAATCTGAACGAATTCCAAAAGACTGAAATAATGCACTGTGTGCCTAATGATCACATTGGTAATTAATCAACAAACTGTTTCAAAGAAATACCTTTTGAATAAAACTCATAGTCACAAACAAACCAGAAAAAAGTGAAAAAATGTTTCAAGCTTTAGCGCACACATTAAAAAAAAAATGCTGATATCATTTATCCATGCCTCTAAGCCAAGAAGCTGGGAAAATTTTAAAAAGTAAATTAGGCCCCAAAAAACATATGTGAAGGAAATTATAAAACCAAGAGCAAAAGTTATTGAAATAAAAGGCAACAGAAAATATAAACAAGGCTAATAGTTTGTACTTTGAAGACATTAGTAAAATTAATACACTTCCAGTAAGATTAATCAGGGAAAAAGAAACACAAATTATTTTTATTAGGAAAAAAAACAAGACATCATTAAAGATCCTAAAAACACTGAAGGAGAGCAAGAAAACATTATGAAAGAGTAGATGAAACAGATGAGTCTCTTGAAAAAAATATTACCAAAACAGAAAAATTAAAAATCTAAATAGATCTATATCCGCTAAATCAATTGAAATAATGTCAAAATTTTCTAACAAAGAAAACTTCAGTCTCAACTAACTCCAAGGTGAATTCTTTCAAATATTTAAGAAAGGAAGAAGTCTCACCAATCTATACAAATGCTTTCAGAGAATACAGAAAGAAAGAATACACTTTGGCTAATTTTAAAGTGTCAACATGGCCACTTGACAAAGAAATTTCAAGGCAACAAGTTGGCCAATATTTCCCAAATATAGATTCAAAATTTTGAAAAATAAATTAGAAAATAAAGCCCAGCAATGCATAAAAAGAATAGCTTGTCATGAACAAGTGGAAAATTTTTGAAAAATGCAAAGTTGATTCAACATTCAAAATCGGGAGAGCATCTAGGTAGGCTAAAGGCATCAGTGCTCACAAGACACCAGGAAGACACTCACCAAAGTATTCAGGTACAGAGGGCAAACAAAAACCCAAGCAAGGGAAAGAAACTAAAAGGAGAAGCCCAGAAGATGAAATCCAGCAACAGAGGTGTTGAGAATAAGAGAAAGGGCTGTTTCTTAACCCTATCAACACTCATATCCCATCCCAATAAACACACCTTCTTGGAAAAAGTTCAAATCCTGTCTGGAGAAAAATTTAAACTGAGCAGAGTGGCTGGCAGGCTGCCAACTGGCAATTTGTCTTAGGGACAAAGAAAAGTAAAAGGGTATAGTCCTGGTTAGGGACCCAGAACCAGGTACTTAAAGATTCATAATACAGTGAAAAAGCACAAAGGCTTACAGTGGGACCAGTGGGATTTAGGGATAGAGAAAAGACCCTGGAGCAGAAACAGGGAAGGTACTCTCTCGCTGTCCTCCAAATGCCACTGGAGGAGCAGTATCCTAATTTTCAGTTGAAGTGTGTACTTCAAGCTAGAGCTTATCCAAAGCAACAAAGGAGGTCACTACACAT